CCTACAAGCAGCGTGTGAAGTTTGATTTTCAAGTTCAGACCACTTTCAGGGCGTGATGAATCACGAAACAGGATCCGTGCAAATCTCCCCCCCCCCCCCCCAAAGACCCTCATATCCTGGTGTAGAACAAAGCAAACTTATCTGCATGCTACATCAACTAGTGACACTGACTGACGCCGCCGTCTAAGGAAATTAATTTTCATCACGCAACACGCACGTGTATGGGAACCCAGAGATGAGTACCGAAGGATTCACGAGCTCCTCTGGTGGCGAAAACTAAAAATTCCCGTCACTATCGATAATCGAAACCTAGGCAAGGTTTTAAGGTACCTCAAAGCCTGGGACCTGTGAGTATCAGGTCGCTTGACAGACCGCGGATTCGATTAACAATCCAACCACGTGACCGCCTTGATTTCCACAAGTTACTTTCAAACAGGCCGATCTCCCACCCTGGGATCTGCAAGTTCTGTAAAGAATCACCTTTGATTTCGCACTGGTCTTGGGTCTAACCCGTTGTAAACACTGTAATTGCTTAACCCTGAGGCACTGAGAGTCAAAAAGGATGAAAAGATCATGAATCATTTGAAAGGAGGCCTAAGACATTCCACAGCCAGTAGATATGAGACCGCGTGCAGCCAATCTGGATGTTGCGATGAAGATAAAAATCATGCCCTGACGGGAATCGAAGCCCGGTCATCCAGCCCATACCGCAATCACTATCATGATTAAACTATCCCGGCAGTAGCTGGCAGTATGCTGACATTCGCATGGAAAGCTCAGGATATCACGTTAAGCGTCAATCTGGTCGAGATTCGAACTCAGAATCTGCCCAGCGTAATCCGGTAATCATCAGCAACAAATCTAAACGCACGCAAATCACGTCGCTTCCTTAATTTAAGAGATTTTTTTCGCTCAGCTTTCTTTTTACGGATTCTTGGAACCGTCGTGAACATTTGTTACACAATCCGAGGAGAACGTCCAAAAAATTGACTGTCCTGATGTCACGAATTCACGCAGAACTCTCTGAAGAAAAAAAACCCAGTGTTGTACCTAATGCGTTTCATTTACTCCCACGCGCATTTACAAATCGCTTATAATTTATTCATCTCAAAATAAGTTATCTTCCCGTCACGGTTTTATTCGCAAGGCAGATTAAGATTTGTAGGATTTGAGGTTTTCAAGGCGGAGAGTCCGATAATGCCCGTCACCCTGATGATGGAGACAGCAAGGACCTCTGCCAGACTACACGGCGCTACATCCCACAATACAGCCATCTTCAGATTTAAACAGACTGTACAGAGTGAACGTTCAGCGCCTTAAAATTTGCTGTTATGCAGTCCCGCACTACCGACCAAAGTCTCTCGTCCTCGATTTCCTTCAAGGGCCTGGAAGGGCTATTGAATTTATACACACTTTGGAGTATACAGGAAGTTAAAAAATTGTCCATACAGTGACCACATATCCGCTGCACAGACTTTTTAAACATCTACATAACCCAATAAGGCAGCCAGTTAAAACACCCGCTGTAGTACAATATAAATCTCGATGTTTTCAGGTAAGAGTGTATAAAGCTATTAGTGAACGACCATATAACATACTGGATTCGAAAGCACCGAACATTCACCCTGCTAAAACGACATTTAAAGCACAAATTTCATACACGTACGCTTATCGCATGTTTGTGGAATGCGGTTTCTAGATGAACACGAAAATATCTTCAATTAGAATTTTATCCAACAGTTTAAAGTGGCGTGTAGCACGAATAGTAAAAAGAACTGCACATACGAGGTGCGATCGGAAAGTTTCAAGACTGCGCGTATAAAAACCCGTACACTTATCTCAGGTATTAAATTCATCCATCACCCTCGAAGTAGTTCCCCTGGGAGTGAACACAACGATCCCAGCGCCGCTGCCAAGCCTGGAAGCATCCCTGGAAATCTTTCTTTGCCAGCCTGTCAAGCACCATCTGCAATTCTGCCTGAATCTCTTCTATCGTCTCAAATCGCCTTCCCTTTAGCTGAATTTTCATCTTTGGGAAGAGGAAGAAGTCACACGGAGCTAAATCCGGCGAATAAGGAGGGTGCGGGATGACGGCCAGGGTGTTTGAGGCCAAAAACTGCCATCATGACAACGCGCCAGCGCACACCGCCCTCAAAGTTCGGCAGTTTTTGGCCTCAAACACCATGGCCGTCATCCCGCACCCTCCTTATTCGTCGGATTTAGCTCCGTGTGACTTCTTCCTCTTCCCACAGATGACAATTCAGCTAAAGGGAAGGAGATTTGAGACGATAGATGAGATTCAGGCAGAATCGCAGATGGTGCTTGACAGGCTGACAAAGAAAGATTTCCAGGGATGCTTCCAGGCTTGGCAGCGGCGCTGGGATCGTTGTGTTCACTCCCAGGGGAACTACTTCGAGGGTGATGGATGAATTTAATACCTGAGATAAGTGTACGGGTTTTTATAGGCGCAGTCTTGAAACTTTCCGATCGCACCTCGTACGAAGAAAAATTCTAGTCATACAACCTAGCGGTAGAAATATTAAGAATTACAACACAAGGCACATTAAATTCTACGACAACCATCGCCACACCATTTTATCCAATTAACTATTTGCACAAAGTGCCCACATAAGGGGAAAGTCGTCACCATCTCTACATGTGGCTAGATGGGTTAGACGTTTAGCAAACAGAATAAAAGGAATCCATACCACGGTTCAACAACCTGCAAGGCAGGAGCCTTCGCCAAGAAATCCTATCCCATGAATATCGGGGATTCTTATCCGGGAGTAAGGTGGATGCAGTGTGGTATAGACCAGTGGTATTCAACCTGGGGCACGCGTACCCCCGGGGGTACGTGAAATTTAAAAAAAAAAATTATGATAAACACTGAATAATCAGTAATGTAATTTATTTAATTAATTTTAAATGTATATTATATACTATGTATAACTTGAATTATACACCAACAACTTTGGGGGTACAAAGTTGAAGAGAAATTATATCTGGGGGTACGCGAACAAAAAAGGTTGAATACCACTGTTCTAGATGAAGCATCACTACTGCAGAAGTCACGAATCAGTGGAGCTATACCTCCATCCGTCATACGTATTCTCAAGGGACAAATTTGAACTTCTGTCGTTGTTGGTCTTATAAGATGCAACGCTACGTCACCTCGTACGTTGATACCAAAGTTTCGGAGGAACATACTACCACCATCTTCAGGGCTACACAGAAGACCGAAGTAGGCATCTTCTCCGACGTAGAAACCTCAAATATCAACTTTACATTCCTTAACCCAGGTTGCAGAATCAGCTATGTATGGACCCACGGTTATCAAAATTTATTACCATCACGAGACAGTGGTACTGTGCATTTATCAGCTTCGCCACAACACTTAGCTTGATCATTACACAACTCTACACCTCCATCGACCGGGTCTGTGTGGTAACACTACTCCTTAGCAACGCTGAACTTGACATGAGATACTTCTGTCACAACCCATCAACGCAGTGCACCGTAATTAACGTGTAGCACTTACAAAAACCCGAAGCGACGCGGATTGATACATGCCTTAGCTCCAGTCACGCCATTAATCAAGTGCGTTGTGAAATATCCTGGTATAGAGCCATTATTACCTGTTTTATGAGTGCACGTAACTCACTTGTCTTACTCCACGTTATAACGACGTTTATCCGACTGCATACGTTACTACACAGAGTGAATATCTGATGCCTTCGAATTTTTTTATGTTATGCAGTCCCGCACGACGATCGTCATACACTCTTACCTGAAAACATCAGCCTCTATTCCGTAATACAGCAGGTGTTCAAAGCGGTGACCTTCCTCATTTAGATCAACTTCCCGCCATAAATCAACTACTCCATCAACATCAACACTTCGCCAAATTCTGTCCTCCAAGCTTAACGTGTCAAAAATTTAAAAAAAAATTCAGATTGAATTCATTAATACCCTGAACAACTTCTCCCCTTACTCCACTTGTCAACACCATTCCTCCTCTTCAACCTGTATTTAAACAGAAGGACGAGTGGGCACTGCCTGGGAACCTCAACATCCATAAACATACGTTTCCCCCGCTAAACGAAGCGTCTCTCGAGAATTTTCTCATCGGTTCGTCCTTCAAAGGGTTAAGGGATTAACAATTACAGGCATTAGCGTCTCATCACGCAATCTGTGCGAGGAACCGCAAACGCCTAGACAGCTGACGGCGTCCACACCCCTGGACGGAAGACGCACCGAGGCGCTGCTGAGTTTGGTTCTGCCGCCCGCACTTGCTCTGAATACTGATACATGTCCCGCCCTTTCACCGAGGCGTGGTCTGGTAACTTGGCCAACCAGTGCTGGTGGGGGATGTGTCAGAGGTTACTTGACCACGTGCGTATATATAAGCCCTCCTAAAAGAAAGCCCTCATGCATTCATTTGTACGACCAACGTCAAGGAACATTGCCAGTGGTGAGTGTGACATTCATCAATGTTATAATTTTTATAGCAGTGACATAACCGGGGTATAAACCGAGGATCGTGGCGAACAGCGCGTGTGAATTGAAAGGTTCGGTGCAAAAAGGACGTAACTACGATTTTCCGAAATTGTGACAAATACAAATATTTAACGGGTTAATGTAAACGTGTGGTCGAAATTCTACCACAGACTCAATTAATATCATCCCTGTATCAAACCTTCAAGCTAGTCGAAGGGGTGTCTTCGCATCAAAAAATATTTCTATATTATTATTGCGTCACGTAAAAACAAGTGTGAGATTCTATCTTTTAATAATATAAATATAATTAAAATATATTCACGTGTCACGATGTCCAAATCATTTAACTATAATTTTCGAGAACAATATCAGACGAATACCATTTAAACACACAATACCATAGCGTTTGAACAAACAGAGGTAAAGTAAGTTAGACACTCATTACATAAGATATCATAATTACGGAGTCAAAGAGCCAGTAATTAAATTATTCTGATTCGTACATGCGTAACCTGTGAGAAAAATAATTTAACATTGTAGGGTCCACGGTTGTAATGAATGACCTTGTTACATACAACACCGCTTTAATTTAGTAAATCCTCACAGAATAAAATGCTATTCTAAACCCACTGACAAGCGACGTTGCTCTGGTAGCGACGCAGAATTGACGTCTGCTTATGGCATGTCGTACCATCGTCAGTGGCGGTCTACCTCTTGATATAACGCTCACGCCACTGCGACCACTTCAGTGAAGAACCTCTTGGTGTTTGCTGACCCCATAAACAGCTTAAAATTACAGCAGGAGCCTCCGTAAGAGACACACAAAGACGTCGTCTTACTTATGAGCTCAATTCGTTCTATTACAGAAACCATGAGGGCATTGATCTTGGTAGCGGCCGTGATTCACGCTGTTCTCGGCGGTGGCAGCCACTTCTCGGTTCGGCTCCCGTTCCTCAACCCTGCCGGTGTCACGTATTTGGACGGCCCAGCACCAGCTGGGCTCGCAGCCGGACCATTGCAGTAGGATACGCTGCAGGCCCTGCTGAATTTAGTTACGCCGCGCCGGCCGTAGGATACACTGCAGCACCGGTACAGACATTAGCCGCAGTCCCCACCGTGCACCACGTTCCAGGAGTGGCTGACGTACCTGTGACTCGCGTTGAAGCTCAGCCCGGATTGATCCAGAAGGTAGTCGACGTTGCGAAGCCCGCTGTATCTACCCGCAAGTTCCAACTTCGCCGTCCCGCTATCCAGAAACAGTTTTACGACATCGAGGAGCGAGTGGTGGTCCGACCAGCCGGTTCTGCCCTCGTCGAGCTCGAGGAACCTTTGGCAAAGATACAGAAGGGCCCTGCGGTCATCAGCCCTTTGGATTCTCTGGCCGTGGGAGCCGCCCCCATCCAACACGCGCCTATCGCCGTCGCCCCATCCCCTGCTCCTGAGCCGGTGTTCGTGTCAACCACTCCTGCCCCAGTTTTTGGACCCTTTCCAGGACAAGGACCAGTCGCTCTTCAGGACGAGGAGTCCGTTGTGGTTGACAATCCTGACTTCGCAGCCCGGGCATCCTTTTCCGCAGAGAGCCACCAGCTGGAGACTGAGCAGCAAGCCCTCAACGTCCAACAGCAGGACTTGCAGGCCAGACAGCACCTCCTCGAATCCAGACGACAGCAACTGTCAAGGACCCACACGGAAGCTCGTCCACTAGGTCCTGGTCCCTTGCCTGGAATCGGCGGGCCCCTTGCTAGAGCCGGCCCAGCTGTCGAGGTCCACGCTAACGGAGCCCCTCACGACGTCGTTCCCTCGCTCCGTGCCCTGAGTCCCGAGGTGAACCAAGCCAATCAGCAGCGTCTCATCCAACTGCTGACCGCACGCGGGGGTGTCGCGGAGGTCGGTTTCGGTCACGAGGGACCCAGCCCACTTCCCGTAGGCGACGTGGGCCCGGTCCGGGCCCGCGTCTTGTCCGCAACCCCGGCACCTCCACACGCTGACCCCACGGGTGAACGCGTGTCCACTCGCCGCGTGGTAGTCAGCCGACCTATCGAGACGGTGCAGGACATCGACGTGGTGGAGCCCGTCACGAAGCTGGAGCGCATCGCTGTCAACCACCCAACCCTGTTCAAGACGGTTCATCACGATGTGGCCCGCGTACCGACATCGGTGCCCGTCCTGGGTAAAACCCTGACACCTGCCATTGCCCATGCGGCCGTGCCTTACGGTTATGCCGGTTATGCCCATTAATGCCCATTTCCGTACTCCGCGTCTACGATGACCTTTCACTCCCCCTACCGACCAAGTACGGCGATCCGCAACCTCAGGTCTCGACCACAATCAGTAACACTTTGCTGAAAGGTAATAAAAAAGTGAATTTTACTTACAGTCGTCGAGGTTTCCTCCAATTTTCAATCGAAGTCTTGGTAGAAATTGAGCGTCGGATCGACGTATTGCAAGCTGTCCGTCAGTTTCTGTCCCACCAGCTGGACTTTTGACACCTGCGGGGAAACAAAAATTCTCTCATTTAAAATACACTCAATGCCTCATCAACACAAATTCTTAAACTAACACCAGAACCTACGATTTTGCAAGCAATAAAATAATGGAGATGTAAGATAAAAAAACATTTCATTAATTTTCTTCTTCTCCAGGCTGTGGCATAATTCTAGCAGACAAACACATCCCTGAAAGTGGAGGCAGCATGTACTCCCGAAAGTTTACTCTCTATATATACGAGTCCTTCCGGCTTTGCAGCCCAGAACAGCAAAATCGACTTCATTGCTATGTAAACCTCAAATGTCAGACAGACAGACAAACAAAGATGTTCCTGTGTGCATGTATAAAGAAAACACGTCATTGCCTCAAAAAATTGCGCGGTTTGCCGAGAATGGCTAAGAATTTTAAGTGCCTACATTACAGCAAAACTTAAATCAATATAATCCCAACCACATGATGCTCTATATTAACTCCTTTCCCATACAAAATCTGGGGGATCCTTGGTAAGGGGACTGGAATAGATTTGTTTGTATTCACGCAAAATTTCTTTAGTTTATCTGCATGAATACAGACGACTTGATCTTAAGGGTCGCTTAAGCAGCGGATTTCAGAGTCAGCTGCGACCTGGCACGTCCATCCTACTTGTGATATGTACCACGTGACATAAAGAACAACACCTCAAAGTTGTATTTTGTATTTATTTATATTTGACGACAAATAAAAACACGATGTGAGTTCCAAGCTACTTTAACTTCCCTCATAAGCTCCGTCCTTCTTAACACTGGTTAAAACTACATAAAATACAAGCTGACAGCGTCGTTAGTAGTCTACATAAAACAATTTCACCAGCCGTTCACACTACAGTGATTCTGAAGCAAAGAGTTGCCATAGCAACAGTTATAAACAATTTTTTTTCGTAACAACGGTAACGTCAAACACGAATGGGTGTTACCAGAAAAAGATCGTGGCCTGTGTTAAGGCAACGACTAACGGAGACGGGTGTACCTAAATTAGGCAGGACAGCCGGGTCACGGGACAAGATTCGAACCCTAGACGTCCCTAATACGAATCACGAAAAGGGGCTACGCCACAGAGGGACTTCAGAAAGGTCTCTACCCGGACACACCAAGCTTCTGCAGCAAATACAACGCGCTGGCTCTCGTAAAACAGAGCCAATTTCATGATAACGGTTCTCAAGGTCATCTTCTACGTAACAGAGCATGAAGCACAAACACAACGGTACATTAAGACGCAGGATGCTGTGTGACAAGGTTAATTCGTTCAGCGGAGAGACAAACATTAGTTCCTTTCTCCTGAAACATTCTATGTAATAAGCGTGTCGAAACGTCTGCGAACACAAGCACCACGCTTCCGCAAAACTCGGTACCAGATGGAGCTGACTGCCCTCCAGTGTGTAGTGGACAAAGAAACTGGGTGGGTCCCAGAACAGATATGGACAGCGCAGCGAAAAAAACTGCCCTCGTCAAGACTCGAACCTCGGACTTCCAACCCGTACATAATTCAGTGGCATTTGGTCCTGAAGACGACTTTTCCAAGTTTAAATCAATTCGGCCTGCTTGATAAAAACAGTCGATCGCTTGAGCAAAGACTCGACTAAATCTTGAAAGATTTCTCTAAGTCTTGAACTACATTTTAAATTTTAAATTTTAAATTTTCCTTGAAAGAAAATTCGAAGTGTACAGAGAGATCTGAACTTGGAACTGTTCGCAAGAGAACGAAAAATGTGTACTCGGCTGAGTTCGGCCACCACAGCACACTAATTGAGAGCATGGCTAATTAAATGGGTTCTCACAAATCAGAGCAAGGTTCTGGTAATGTCATGGCCTCCCACAAACTTTCTCCCATGAAGTAATTTGAGAACTGGTTTGTTACGCAGGACTCCACAGATTGTCTGATTATCATGTGCTTTAAACAGCTGCTTGTAACCGGAACATATCTGAGATGTTCGACCTTCTGTGTGTCTCAAAGCTCTTGTGGTCGAACTACACAGTCGACAGGTTTAAGCAAAACATGGGTTACAGACAATAATTTATAAAATTTCTAATAAATACATTATTATGCTATTACATTATTATTTATTACTAATACTATTAAGGCTATTATAGCACAATTTCAATGGTTAAGAAAACGTCTAGAGATAGTTTGTCTGTAATTAGTTCTATATATTATTATTATTATTATTATTATTAAGTGTTCTGTCTTACGACAGGTCCATTGCTCTGCCCAAAAAGAGCTCTCCAGTTTTTCCTATTCTCGGCTTCTCGCTTTTATTCCTGGAACGTCATCTTCTTTCCTTGTTTAAGGTCGTCGGTTAGCTGTATCAATCTTCTTCCTAGTCCTCTCTTTCCTTCAACCTGGCCTTCGGTGATATCACTCATTAATCCATTCCTTCTCATAATATGTCCCAGCCAGTTAGCTTTCCTTCGTGTAATCGCCTGCAGAATGTTTCTTTGCTCGTTGACTCTCCTCAATATTTCTATATATTACACTAATAAAATAATTTAACACTCAAATGACGACACTTCACAGAGCGTTCAATACTTAATTATATTGGGTGCGAAAATGAAGAAAAATCACGTACCTACGCACAGATGAAAATTAAGTCATCTCATAAATACGTCCTAGTCTGTGTTGTATTGCAAATGCGTTTCGCCGTATCTTTTAGGCATCAAATCGTTGTAAATAAAGTATCACGGGAATGATTTTTCTTTCTTAAAATAAACAGGAAGTACATATGACGACAGATTTAAACAGCGTACTTAAATATATCTTAAGATCTGTTTGCACACAAAAATATATATATACATTAATCACATCGTATAGGGTACATATGCAGTGGCGAATTGTGTACCTAATCTGTTTCCTATTGGAGTAATTTTACTAAACTAATCAAAGTTACCTGTTCCGTGTTCATCCTTCTAAAAAATAACCTCCAAACTTAATCAACCTATTCTTATTCCATAATCTACAGCCCCTACAATGTACACTTCACACACAACACATTACCAATTTTCACAGAAACTGCTTCATAGTTGTCACCACTACGAAAGTAGTTGCCACAATAACTCGCAAACACGTTCAAGCATTTTTATGCATGAGGGAAGTATATGGATGGACAGGTAGCGAGAGAGATGATTCTTGAATCATGAACACATGATTGGATTGCGCAAGAAAGCTAGCAAACATCAGGACATAGTTCCTTATCTGGAGCCTAGAGGCAGACACACAGCACCAAAGAAGCAATACGAAGGGTGGAAAACCTCTTACAAGCCCATTAACCACCAACCATTTTAAGAACAATTTTTTCTATATTTTTATTCATAGATTTCATAAGATTCTCAGTGTAAACAGAGATTGTTTCCCTAAACAGTAATAATCAGTTGATCGTTGTCATGAAGACGGATTGCGTTTTCTTTGAGGTACGAAATGGAATTCTAAAATATAGATTTCGGCTTTAAAGGCTTCGGAACTTTTCTCATGGTAATGCAACAAGTTCGATATCATGATTAGCACTGTTTGTGCTGTTACCTGTCAATTACTACCTTCATTTACAACAGCAATTTTATCCCTCAAAATCATTCATCGCTCCAATACGGAGTTAAAACTAAGTACGTTGCAAAAAAAGTGTATAAATGAAAATTATAAAAAAAAAAAAATTACGAGAACAATCGGACTGAATGGAAATCGATATCTCCAGGTGAAATGTAGAATATCGATTGAAAAAACAACGAAAATTTCACTCTCAGATCACATTCGATTCAAAGTGCATCATCCTAACGTCTCATTCAATAGCAAAATCTCTATAGTTGATACAGCATCGTTAAGTAAGATAAAATGAGAAACTTGCTTTGAGGACTGGGCCAACGACGTTTGCGTAATGAGCTCGTACGTTTGTAGCCCACCGACAGATGGCATAAAGTGTTTAAATCCTACACGTATCAGAACCGTTCTCGAGAAACTGGTAGTCGCCTAGATCGCCGAAACATTCCGAGCCTTTGACAGATACAGTTCACTGTAATCTATAAAGAGCCCACCGATGGACAAAATTCACACACGGATAAATGCAGTCCACATCTCAACCAATTTCGAAAATTCTCAAAATAAAAAAAAAAGTTTTAAAAAAATTCACAAATTTTTCTAAACATTGAAAAATTACAAGAATTTCCAAAACTGTCAAAATAACTCCAAAAGATATAAATTCACGAAAATTTTAGAAATTCAAAAACTTCTCATAAAATCAAAAAAAATTCAAAACTATGATTTTTTTTAAAAAATCACAAAATTGGTAAGAAACCTTAAAAATATAAAAATTTCGAAAACTGTTAAAAAATTAAAAGTTTTAAAAAATGCTAGAAGTTTCAAAAAGTCCCAAATTGAAAAAATATCTATAAAATATAAAAAAAATTAAATTCATAAAGATTTTCAAAATTGTTCAAATCTTGAAGAACTACAAAACTTCTCAAGATATATCAAAAAATACAAAAAATTCAAAATGTTTACCCCCTTGTCGAACATCTCTTAATCTCTGTTCTGAGAGCGACCCTACAAGTTCCAGTCGCGTACAATTATACTACATTTTTGTTCAGGCTATAAATCTGAAGTAATTAGCGTTGTGGTCCCGAAGAGACAGACGTACGTAGGGCCTTACGTCACGCAATGCGTGCCGCATCTCACGTAATAACGTCACTTGGGAAAGAAAGTGTGGCTGACCCTGGAGGCAGCGAAGAATT